AAAAAAAATACCTTGATTATGTAAAAATTGTTCTTTAATCTCTTATGATGCATTGGTAAGATAATTATAGACCATGTAGAGACATGGAAAGAAACTTAATATAATAAGTAAAAATAGTAGAGTGCAAAAATAGCATGACTCCTAGGATTGGAGTATGTAAAAGATTTTCTCCTGTAAAAGATAATGGTTGCACTAGGGACAAAAGGACCATGGGTGACATTTTAAACATTAAAAGCCTTGTAAACAATTGTTAATCCTAATGGTAATGGTGTTCTGGCCTTGTCGTTTTAATTTGGGGAGATGGTGCATGTAAAGCTCTTAGCTCCAGTTGTGATGTGCTTTCGTTGATGAGGCACACTGACCCTTGGCCCATAGGTCTTGTGCATTGCAAAGCCATCTCTCTCTCTCTCTCTCCCTCCGCCTCGTCGCCCTTGTGGCTAAGGGAGTGTGCCATTCTGAGGTGGCTCATCAGGGTCTGAGGTGTGGATCGCGTCTGTGAATTAGAGGGAAGTGTACAGGATCACTCTCGCAGTTTTAGCCTCATCGGCCTCATGGGCCAACTGGCCTTGCCAGCTGGCCCTTGTTAAATTTCCTGCTTGGCACCGATTGGCGGGAACTTCAGCATAGCCCCTAACACATAAGGATATTTAATACATGGTGTTGCTTCCTTACCAGGAAGCACTGAAATAATCAGGCCCTAAGAAGCATAGTCAACCTGATACATGAAAATCCAATTTTGTAAAGGAAAGAAAATCTGGGCGTGATTCCATTTGCAGATGTATTCTATGCTTTGCAAAAGACTTCACAATGGATTCCTTTAAATATCAAACATTCTGGGTGCACTTACAGTAAGAATTTGATTTAGAATTGGAAAATATAATTTATATTTGACTTTTAATGCACTTAATCTGTAAATTGGGTTGGTTACAGCTGTGTTGTCCCTGGAGGGTAAGTTGTACACATGCATGCAGTGGGGCACTGATCCTCTTAAGCTAATGCCCACATTTATGATTTCCCTGTTTGCTGTGTATTTGTAGAAGGAGCCACACACAGTGAACACCGAGCCCTCATGTCTGAACTCAAGATCCTCATTCATATTGGCCACCATCTCAATGTGGTCAATCTTCTAGGTGCCTGTACCAAGCCAGGAGGTGAGTATCTGTGGAGGGTTTTGGTTGCCTGATGATTCTAGCATTTAGTTCTCTGCTGGTGTTTCAGGGAAACCACTCAACTCCCATGGCCTTGATTTCCTTAACTTAGGATACTATGCCAGATTCCTAGATACGAATATATTTCATGGAGGTTTAATGGGCTCTATAAGTTCTTCTGGAACTTCCTGTGAGTTAAAAAATGCTGCCTCACTCTACTGCAGTTTGCTACTTGTGTAATAGATGTTCAGATGAAAAAAGTAAACCTCTCAAAAAACTTGAAAGCAAAGACCTTAAGAGTAGTTCCCCCTGAAATGGAGTCCTCTTAGGTGATTGTGTTGAAAAGCAAGAGGGTGGATTTTCTTCTGAAATTTTGGTTGATCAGGTTGTGGGATTGCCTTTTGGAAAAAGAAAAGCTACGCTGTAAGGGCATTGTGACCCACTGATTTCTGTGATCCTGTCCCCAGTGAAAGGTTGTAGCATCTTCTATGATATTTTCTTGTTCATCAGTGTATTAAACACTTGTTGAGATACATGAGCGGAAACATTTTCCTCTCTGACATGCTGTGCTGTCTGCAGGGCCACTCATGGTGATTGTGGAATTTTGCAAGTTTGGAAACCTGTCAACTTACTTAAGGAGCAAGAGAAATGAATTTGTCCCCTACAAGGTATGTCATTTCTTAACTCAGCTCTGGTCACATTGTAAAACGGAAGAAAACACAAAGTGATACAGGTTAATCTTCTTTTGTTAAAACCCCGTGAAGAACTTGTGAGGGGGCGCCTGGGTGGTTCAGTCAATTAAGTGTCCGACTCTTGATTTTGGTTCAGGTCATGATCTCAACAGTTCATAAGATCGAGCCCTGACTCGGGCTCTCGGTTGATAGCACGGAACCTGCTTAGGATTTTTTCTCTCTCTCTCTGCCCCTCCCCTCTTTGCGCTCTCTCACTCTCTCTCTCTCTCTCTCTCTCTCAAAATAAATAAATAAATAAACTTAAAAAAAAGAAGAACTTGTGAGGAATCTTCTTGGCTGTTGTAACCTCTTTTACCTACTGGGGAACATATCTTCTCATGTTTTATTTTTTTGTGACTCTAATTTACTGAGCCATTATAGATGGTGCTTGAGGGGGCAGGAGGAGGAGGAAAGGGAAGGATGGAGAGAAGGATGGCTTTGGATTATTTTCTCTCTCTCCTAGCAGTATTTGGCCCCATGGAATGTCAGCCCCTCTGTAAAGAGCACCCTAATGTTGGAAGTGTATCTGGGATAGACTTGAAACAGGCATTTATCTCTAAGCTAAAGAAGGAGCAGGGTGCCTGGGTGGCTTAGTCGGTTAAGCGTCTGACTATTGATTTTGGTTCTGGTCATGGTCTCGTAGTCCGTAAGTTCGAGCCACGTGTTGTGCTCTGCCCTGATGGCGCAGAGCCTGCTTGGGATTCTGTCTTCCTCTCTGTCCCTCCCTGCTTGCTCTCTCTTTCAAGACAGGTAAAAAATAAACTTAAAAAATAAAACAAAGAAGGAGCTAGGCTTCATGGAAGAAAATTTATTATGTAGAACATTTGCCCAAAATTTCAGCCCAGAGATTCCATATTCTTGCAATTGATGTCCTTCTTGTCTGCTTTTAATAGTTACAATTATTTTTATAGTTTACTACATTTTAGACATCTTGTTTGTATTCAAAGAATTTGTTCATTTGCTTCATTGTAGACCAAAGGGGCACGATTTCGTCAAGGGAAGGAATACGTTGGGGAAATCACTATGGATCCGAAACGCCGTTTGGATAGTATCACGAGTAGTCAGAGCTCAGCCAGCTCTGGATTTGTTGAGGAGAAATCCCTCAGTGATGTGGAGGAAGAGGAAGGTACCTGTCATTGCTTTCTTCATACGTAACGCATGCTTTTGCAGAAAAGAGAAGGTGATAGGTGTTATGAGGAATTTTGTCATGGGAAAAGTTCAATACTCCCTAAAACTTGAAAGAGACCTGAATTTTGAGACTCCCACCATTCAGTCTTTCAAAAGTGAAGTGTGGAAGCCCTGAATAAGCAGCTGACTAGGTTGTGAGGCAAAGCACAGAGAGTCTGAGAAATCTCAGGACCCCACGAGGGCTAAGCAGTCGACCATTAAACCAGTGCTTTGAAACTATTGGTTCAACATGGAGTAGTGGGAGGGGCTCAGCGCTCTGTTCCTGAGGGACAAAGGAGGCTCTCTGGTGGTTGATTAGCCTCCCCATTACCCTCAGCAGTTCAGCCCCATCCTGCCTAAGTCACCAGCACAACACAAGACTTTCCATTAAGTATACCCAACCTCTCTGAGGTGGTGTAGGGGTCACCTGCTGTTTCTACCCCAGTCCAGGTGACTTATCAACCATACTTCCTCAGAGGAGTCTTGGTAAACATATTTTTCTTTATCCAGTTATGCTTCCAATGATATTTTAGTGCTCTCTGGGAGTAGAGCTATATTTCCAAACTTCCAAGACTTCTTTCAGCTCCAGGATACACTATCTGCTTCCCTCAGAAGGAGCAGAGACATCTCCATAGATATAGAGATGGGGCTTCCTGACATCTGGCTCCTCTTGAGGCACGAGCTTAAAAGAACCCAGTCGTGAAATAGTGGAAGAAACCTGCTTCCATTTCCCTTGACGCGAGGCTACAGATAGACCTTAAATCTGGCTTCTTCCTCTTAGAAGCCAAATGGGCTGTGCCAAGCTGGAACTTGGCCTAGAGGAATGTGGAGAGGCTATCTGGACCTCATGCAACCTCTGTCCCATCTTTCTCACAAAATGGTGGTCAGGGCACAGGAAACCCAAAGGATTGAGGAATTAAGTTGGAGTAGAAAGGGTGATGGCCTGGAATGTGTCCTCCCATTTCTTCATTTGGAAAATGGAAGGGTTTCACTAATTGTTCACTGAGCGCCCTCTAGCCCTAAGCATAAAGAAATCCTTGAGAAAATGGTTCACAGTCTTTTTAATACTTACAAGAATATTATTTCACGGAGTTTTCATTAACTCCGGTATTTGTCTCTAGGAGAGAAACCATGTCTTATCTTATCTGACCAAAGTCAAGAGATCATGTCGAAACACCCATTAATGTCTTCGTGTTTATTTGTACCAGTTGCACGGAAGTAAATACCACCAGTTTACGCAAATCCATCTTTCCCTCGAAGTTCCTGTCATCTCTCATTCATATCCTTGGAGGGAGAAAAAGCATCCTCTCAGCCCTGTTTTAAAGTGTTTACAGCACTTTCTCAGCTTGAAAGTGAGAGAAGTAAATATATTTCTGGTATTTTTAGTTATCTGTTGTCGATTATAATCCGACCTTTGGCCTTTGTCCCAGGACAAAGCCTGGAGAGAACAGATTCAATGACCCTGAATATTGTTGTTTTATTTTTAGAGTTCTTGATAGGAAACTATTGTTTATCCCTCTGGGTACATGAAAAAAAAACAACAGTTTGAAACAGCAAACTTGAAAAAGTCCTCTCTCACCCCCTTCTATCTTTGCCAAATTTACCTCCCTTCTGCCTCCTGGATTTGCTGGTTCCATTTGACTAAGATGGAAAAACCAACATTTTTTTGCTAAGGAGTATGATGCAAGCTAATAATACTGGGATTCAGCAACCTTGCAGAAGATACAGGCATTTTCTGTCTGCTTCTGTTTCCAGAAGCTTAACTCCCAAGTTTTCAAATGAAGATTATTCTCACAAACTTAGAAACGCATAGTTTCTGGTGGCAATACTGATCTCTGTCCTTCTGCATCTTCCAACAGTTTCTGAAGATCTGTACAAGAACTTCCTGACCTTGGAGCATCTCATCTGTTACAGCTTCCAAGTGGCTAAGGGCATGGAGTTTTTGGCGTCACGGAAGGTAAGACTGCTCAGGGGGAAGCAAAGCGTGTCTTCAGATCACAGATTCGGAAGTAAGGTGTTCAGTGCCAGCCGCTGGTGTGTGTTTCAAACTGTAATTCATCATCCACTCCTGGGCCTATTGGATGAGTTCTGTTGGGGAGACCCCACTTCTGCTAACTTCAGGAGGTGTAGGGATTTCATGACATCAGTTCATGTGATCAACACTTACTGAACATCTACGAAGGGCAGGAGGTCTTGTAGGTACTAAGAAGACTGTGTGAACAAACAGGCAAGATAGGAGTTCATGTCCTATCGGGTGGAGCAAACGGTGAACAATGTAAACAAGTCAAATACATAGTAGGTTGGATGGGAATAAGCACTGTGGGGAAAAATAAGCAGGAAAGGGCTATAGAGTATACAGGACTGGTATGTTTGTGTGTGCATAGGCTTCTGTGTTTGTGTACATCAATTTTAAACAAAGTGAACAAGGAAGGCTTTATAAGAACGTGACATCTGAGCAGTGACCTGGAAGAGGTGAGGGACTGAGCCTTGCAGATATCTTAGCATAGGAGAGTGTATTTTTAATTTATTTTACATTCATCACCATCCATCAAAAAGTATTTGTTAGTGGTATAATTAGAAACCAGGAAGGACAGGCCTTAGATGTGAGCGATTAAAAAAGCTAAAATTAGAAAAGTAGGCCAAACAAAGACTGAGGTGGGGACGTGACAAGTTACAAATATTCCAAAGGTTGTAAACACCACGGATTCCAGCCTCTGGAAAGGGTAGAATGGATGGTTTTATATTAAGCAAGAAAAATTCAAATTAAGTTTCAGGAAAAGGGATCAGTTGACAAAATGCATTTGCTGCACCCTCCTGGTGGGGGAAGAAAGACTTAACGTTTTTGCTTTTGTTTCTAAATTAGAGTGAAATCTCTAACCCATTTTTCTCTGAATCTGAAAGCTTGTCACAGCTTTTCCAGCCTCCAGACCTCAGATGTTTCTGTGGGGGGAGGTCTCGTCTCCTTTTTCCCAAAGGGAAGGATTTTCCTATGGAGAAAGGCCCTTTGCCTTTCTTGGAGATTCTGATTTTATTTCACTATTTTTTTTTTTTAAAGACCAGAGCCTGCCATTTGGTCAGGATATCTTTCGACTGGGAAGGGAATCGGGCAGGGGACCTTTAACTTTTCTCACATCTGTCGGCTGGTTTCTTGAACACCACCTGGTTGTTAGACTAAAAAAAGGAAGCTCTTTGGTTGGGGGAAAAGTAGGGAGGACTGCCTGTTTTTTTGGAATCTCCTGTCTTGCTCGGTCATGCTTGCCAGTGTGCTTTTGAATATGCCTCTTTCATTAAAAAAAATTTTTTTTTAATTATCAGTTTTTGAGAGAGAGAGAGAGAGTGAGTGTGAGTGAGTGCACAAGCGGGGGAGGGGCAGAGAGCAAGGGAGACACAGAATCCAAAGCAGGCTCCAGGCTCTAAGAGGGTCAGCACAGAGCCCAATGTGGGGCTCAAATTTACAATCCGGTGACCGATTGAGTCACCCAGGTGCCCCTGAATATGCCCTTTTCAGAGGGAAGTACTATACAGACTCAAGGTGTGGGTGTTCAGCAATGCCTGGCTCCCATGGTCACTCCTGCATGGACTTCAGAATCCTCTGAGCCTTTCATTCATTTATAAGTGTTCCCTGAGACTCTATTTCCTCATGAATCTACCAGGTGGAGCTAAAGTTGCTCAGTAGTAGGAGGCCACATGACGATGTGGGATATCGGGAAGGGAGAAACTGAGCAAAGGAAAAGAGTAGAGAGAAAGCAAGAGGAACTCACTTTTCTTCTTTGGTGCGCCTGAGAGCTAACTTGACCATCGAGAGGCTGAAATGTCTTTTGTAGACCTTTATGATGATCCAACAATTTGAAAACAGGATGAGCCCCACGGGGCATGGTTTATCAGAGCTGCTCAGCTTCAGTTCCGTGTAGAATGGGGAAACCAACAAAGGGCACCAAACCGATGAGAGCCCCTTGTTCCTGGTTTCCGTGCATTCATTCGAAATAACTTCCATTCTAGGACCTCCTTAGAATAACAGGTTTTAACCGTATATGGTGCCAGGCCAAAGGGATATGTGGATGTGACCAGAAACACATTCTTAATTGTGTCCAAGAGAAGTCTATTTATGACTCCATGATCATACTATAACTTAATTATTTAATTCCAGAGTCTGGGGCTGTTTATGGAATAAGCAGATGTGTGTGTCTCAGCGAAAGTCAGACTTTTTTCCTGAAGTGTTGATGAAAGACATTAGCCCAGTGCTTGTTAATCAGTTAGTTTTCTGATGTGGATTTTTTTGAGCATGAGGTCACAACAGATGCAGAAGAGATCAGCTGTTCTGAGACCTAACACACACACACGATTCTTTTTGCAGTGTATCCACAGGGACCTGGCGGCACGAAATATCCTCTTGTCGGAGAAGAACGTGGTTAAAATCTGTGACTTTGGCTTGGCCCGGGATATTTATAAAGATCCAGATTATGTCAGAAAAGGAGATGTAAGTTTCAAAGATGAACCGATTGATCTGTTAAATTGCAGGATCCAAATTCCTCTTTGCAAGCTTCAGGACCTGTGTTGGGAACAAAGGAAGTTTTTTCTTCAGATATGTGCTAAGTTGGGTTCTGATTCCTTGTCTTCTACCCTCTTAGGCTCGCCTCCCTTTGAAATGGATGGCCCCAGAAACAATTTTTGACCGAGTGTACACAATTCAGAGTGATGTGTGGTCTTTTGGTGTTTTGCTCTGGGAAATATTTTCCTTAGGTAAGTCACTTCGTTTTGTCCCTCCATCCATATTCCAAATAGAATGATAGAAGTCAGTGGCCTGACACATATATATATATATGATGTTCAAGAATTAGGCTGAGGGCTTTCTATAAAAGAAAATCAAATCAAATAATGTCCTATTCCTATTTTATTCTAGGTGCTTCTCCATATCCTGGAGTAAAGATTGATGAGGAATTTTGTAGGCGATTGAAAGAAGGCACTAGAATGAGGGCCCCTGATTATACCACACCAGAAATGTAAGACTTTGGAAGTGTCTTTCTATCCTTTCTTTTCTTATAAAAATTCTCCCTGCCCAGAAGACTTTTCATGATACAGACCTCTTTTATGACCCAGTCTGTGTCCTACTTCTCTCTGGAAGTCTTCCTTGATAATCTGAAGTAGAGAGTCATCTCTTCTTGAAACAACAACCCTATATCAATACCAACCAGTTAGCTCCTATTAGATGTTGATTTATAGCATTTTCTGTACATGATACTCCAAGTGTAGGACTCTGTGTTTTATACAGTGCGGTGTTACTGTTTAGCATCTGGGCTCATGGTGGACGTTTCATAGATGTTTACTCGTTCAAGTGTTTATTTTCAACATCAGATGGGGAAGACGGAGGCAGTTAATGACATTAGTGTTTTGCTTCTCTAGGTACCAGACCATGCTTGACTGCTGGCATGGGGAGCCCAGTCAGAGACCCACGTTTTCAGAGTTGGTGGAACATTTGGGAAATCTGTTACAAGCTAATGCTCAGCAGGTTCGTGACCTCCACCCAAGAAGCGTATACAAGGGTTCCTCTCCTCCCTAGATCTCACGGCCACCACGCTGTCCTCTCAGCCACTGAAAAAGGAGCCATATTCTTGCAGATCTGAGCAGCAATGCTTTTTTAAAATCTATAATTTCTCTTTTAGATAGATGAGATCCTAATGAGGTCCTAATCCATAACCTGGGAGCAGACCACTCGTTTCTCCTGATGTATCTTTTTGTTGTCTTCAGATGCTCTCCTAAAGTTAAAAAAAAAAAAAAAAAATCGTTGACCCACAGAATATCAACAATGGGTGGGATTTCAAGGAATTTAATACACTGTGCAGGCAAAACTGCATCTGAACCCTGCAAAATACAAGGCATTTTTCTTAGTAAAATCCCAGGCCCCCATAACTTTCATTGGAGGATTTTAGAATTGTTAACCTTTACCATTAGAAAGTTATTTAATCTCCAGTCAGTGCCTCTTACCACCAGGAATGGAAGCCAATTTCCTCCTGCTTTTCTTTTGAACAGGTAGGGAACAATGGGTCAAATCTGTTTTTATCAGTAAACCTTTTGAACGTTTAAAGGTATCAAATTGCCCTTTATTTCTTTCTCTTGATGAAATAATGTTAAATTGTGCAACCTTTTCTCAGAAGACCCATTTTCCTGCACATTTATTGCTTTTCTCTAGCCTGTCATCAGATTTTCCATTGCCTTGAAATGTAGAGGCTAAAATTGGATGATCTGCCCTTTAAAAGACCTGGCTCGCGTAGGTAGGGCTTTGTGAAGAAATGATTCCTCAGCTCTCCGTGCTTTGCCGCTACGCGTATGGCCCCAGCCTGCTTTGTCTTCCTTGTAACCACAGTCCTCTGTGGCTCCCTTACTCATCTTGTTTTTACATTATCTCTTTCACCGTACTTTCATATATGTGTCCCTTTCAAGTGCCCTTTTGTTTTTGACAAACCATTTTGAATGTTGTCTTAAAGTTCTGCATTCAGGTATGAAAGCGACCTGCCCGCTAACCGCTAACCGAGAAGCCCCCCTTGGCCTTTGTTTCTCATGAAAAGGCTCTTGAGGGGCTGAAGACATAACAATAGCATCGCTGTGTTTGTTGTTTCAGGATGGCAAAGACTATATTGTTCTCCCGATATCAGAGACTTTGAGCATGGAAGAGGATTCTGGACTCTCTCTGCCTACCTCACCTGTTTCCTGTATGGAGGAAGAGGAAGTGTGTGACCCCAAATTCCATTATGACAACACAGCAGGAATCAGGTACTGTATATGGTCAACATCCCCTAGGGGAGCTGGCATGTCAAGGTTCTTTGGGGAGGGGATGGAAGGAAGGCATTTTCTAAAGCTGCTGCACCCCACTTCCACATTTAACCTTAGCCCCAAGTCTGCTATAAAGGGAAGTGCTCCTTGAAGAGGGCCGGGGTAGGTGAGTTTCTTCCCATCTGTGGTCCACATTGCTGCCATAGCTGTTCCGTTAGAATTCTAAGCCCTGCAGCTGCAAATAGCTGGAATGCCATAGTTTGTTAATCTCCAGAAAAAGAGGCCAGTTTTATATAGACATCTGTATTTAAATTATCCCCATGTACTCTTTTATTAATGTGAATTAAACGGCTTAGGAAAGATTCAGGAAGGAAGAGTTTTATGCATATATGAAAACACGCTTGTGCCTCTCTGGCTAGGGTGCAGTCTGCCAGGGGGATGTGTCCTGAATTTGACTGGACAGCACATCTTCCGAAGCCCCTCCCTAGTCTGATTTTCAGCATTTTATTTGCATAATGGGACTTCCGGGCTTATTTGAAACACATGCACTGCAGTCCTCGCCTGATTTGTAAAGGGGTTCTGAAGGCAGCTTCCTTTCTTCTCTCTCCCAGCACCTGTGCATGAGGCAAGAGTCGGTATGGTTTCTGCCATATAATAGTCAAATTGTCTTTTCCTAAGCCTGGGACGTCGTGTCTTTGCTTTGTTTCTTTTCCCACTCTTGTGGGTGTTTTCTTCCTGTCACTGGACCCCCTGACAGCACAGTCCAGCCTGCCCTCTTGAGTGTGCTGTGGCTGCAGGGAGGGGGCGCGGAGCTCTAGGTCCGCCAGGCTGCCAGGGGATGGGGGAGGAGGCCCCCTGGACCCCTTGACCCGTGGGATCCCACAGTGTGGTGGGAACACTGCCGGAGTGGGTAGAAGCTGACAGGCGAGCTGCCCGTTGAATCTGTGTCAAGAACTTTCAGCATTTCTCGAAGAACTTTTCCTTACATTATCAGATTTTGCTCACGGGATGACTCTCAGCGTTAGGCAAGGTAGAAACTATGATCTTTTCTTGATGTAGATGTTGAATGTGAGGCTCAGGGCAATCGCTTGGTGGAAAGAAAACTTGGTGGTTAAAGATCCAGATTTTAGAGGCAGGTAGAACTGGTTGGACCCCAAGTATGTCTCTTAGTGACCTGGCGCACATCTTCACTGGGACCCAGGTGAAGACACTGGTGTTCAAAAATTATTATTTTGAGAATTACATGGTATATTGTATTTCTAAGTGGCTGGCACTCAGAGCACTCAGTGCACGATAGCGATTAAGCAAGCTGCTTAAAATCGCATCTCCCAGACAAATCCAGTTCCTCTGATACCTGTCTGAGTCCTATTGTCTGCCACACCCAGTGGGACCCTCAGAGAGAAAAATTAATGAACTGAAAACCAGTAATTCCACTCTCACGCTTAAAAACCTTTAGTTCAAAGAGCTTGGGTGGCTCAGTCGATTAAGCGTCTGACTCTTGGTTTCAGCCCAGGTCACGATCTCACAGGTGATGGGATCGAGCCCTCTGTGCTGACAACGTGGAGAGACCGTCTGTTTCTCCCTGTCTCTCTGCCCCTCCTGCCTCCCCCCCCCCAAAATAAATAAACTTAAAAAACAAAACAAAACAACACCAAAACCCTCTAGTTCAAGCTTGGCTGGCCTTCTGGGGGTGGTAGTTATTCCTGCAACATCACTGCCTTCTGCCCGATCAGAAAGCCATTTGATCATCAGCCATATTCCTTGGGTTTTTTGTGACCAGGTGGAGTGAGGACCTGAGCCGGCAGCCTCTTGGCTCGCTTGGACGCTTTGCATATGGTGCCAAGAGTCGATGAGGTCATGTTGGTGTAATGGAAGTGCCGAACGCAATGCCGGATCTAAGTCAGGGCTGCTAACACTTATCCCCAGAAGCATGGACAAATGTGACACCACACTCCGAGCATAGGCCTGGCTCCTATTTTCTGTCTGTGATTTTCGAATTGGTCTTTTCCAGTCCAGTTTCTCTTTTAGCCAGCCATAATTTGAAAAATAAAATGGAAATTGGAATCTTTTGTCTGCACCCCCTCTCAGCTGCCTCCACCTTTTTTCCTTTTGTAAAAACAAGACTCCACAGTCACAGTCGAATCATCGGGGTTAAAAGAAACCCAGAATGGAGGCATCTGCACATGGCACACCTCATGCTGAGGCTCTCTTTGGGTTCTGCTTCCCCGGGGGAAGACCAGAGATGAGGCTGGGGTGCTTCTCGGCGGACTTGTTCTCTCTCCTTTTTCACATTTCCAGTCAGGTCGGAAAGCTGAGGAGTCTTTCTCATTCGTTTCCTCTTTATAGTTTTCAGCCTCCTTGCATTATGAATAGAGCTGGACAGAGGCACTGCTGTGGGCACCGACCTCCTGATCCGTGGCCCCTTTAAATTATTTAAAAATATTTGTTCAACATTTATTTGGGGAAGAGGCTGAGAGGTGTGTGGGGGAGGGGGGAGCGGGACGGATCGCTGGTGTCTAGACTCAGCTTTGCCTCTAATTTCCCGTGTGGATCAGCTCTGGCCCCAAGTTTGCATGCCTTCTGCAAGAAAACACATATTAATTGGACTCATCTTTCCATGAGGGCAGTTTGGGGACCATCTGTGCTTGCTCCATCATTTCCCCAGGGAGTTTCACCTCCTACTCCAAGCAGCTTATCAAAGATTTCTTTTCTCTCCCAGAGAAAGGTTTTGGCACATACCATTTTTCTTCATTTTGGTTAATTGCTGGTGATGATTAAGCGCTCCTGTGGATTGATGTCTGGGACTGCCTCCTGGCTAGATGTTCCTGAATTTGGCTGTGAGATCAGATTGCTTGAAATGAAACTGTCCTTTCTCCACCTTCTCTCTGTCCGCTCCCCCGCCCTGTTCCCACCACGTGGTCAGTGGGTGCGTGGGAGAGAGCAGTGCTGTGCACATAGTAGGTGCTCAACAAAGACTCGAACAATCACGTCCATTGTTCTTTTCTACTTTTTCCTTCCTGCTACTTTTCCAAGGGAGTCAGTGTGGAGTAGGGTAGCAAAACAAAACGAAACAATGGGCTTTAGAATCTGAAGGCCAATTTCATATCCCAATTCTAGCCATTTCCTCCCTAAGTCTCAGCTTCCTCGACTTTTTTCCAAGACAGCTGCATTATTGCCCAAGCTTACCCTCTCTAGTTGATTCTATATCCTGAATATCTCTGGGATATGTCTACTTCTCCAAACCCTGTCGGCATCACCTTTCTTAGGCTGCCCTACTTTCTCCTAGATACGTGGAAAAGAGCCCCCTAATTGGTCTCATGGCCTCTGTTTTCACCTTCCTGTACCCAGAGCCATCTTTCTAAAGGGCGCATCTGACTTTGTTAGTCTCAGGCTTCAAATCTTTCAGTGGCTGCTTATAACCCTCAAAATAATAATCCAGATATTTTAGTTTTGTGATTTTGAACAAGTTCCTTAACCTTTTGATGCTTCGGTTTCCTCATCAGAACTTGGGATAATAATACCCACCCCTGACAGGTACCATTTATGAAGGTGCTATGAGATAACAGTTGAGGAGCATTTTAGCACAGTGCCTGGCATGTGGTAGATTCTCAGTAAAGGATTCCTGGATCAGGGAATGAGCAAATGAATGATTAACTATATGGTACCAATAGTTTTTGGCAATAGTCCGGACTGGACTCAGGAGAGGTGGGCTTTTCTCTCTCTCCTTATTTATTAGGTCCTCCTTTAGGTGGAGTTTCCTGAGGGAAGATGTCACTGGTGAACCTCATTCTCTTCTCTCCGTAAGGGGAGGAACCAGCCTCCTGGGGCAGGGGAGGGAGACTCGATTTCCATTCTCCTCCTTTGGCTCAAGCAAGTCCTCACTCCACTTGGTCACAGAAGACACAAAGAATACGTAACATGTCCAGGAGCCTGCCTGGTGGGGGGGGGGGGGGGGGGGGGGCAGTATGCAGGGACAAGCGTGAAGAGTGAATTTGCTGTCCCTTGCTGTGAAACAGACGGACTTCCTTTCTCTCCACTTGGGCTGTCGGTGATCTTAACAGGATCACTCAAGACTCACCCAAAGCCACATGGTAGGGAAGGAGCACCCCCAGAAAACAGGTGATATGGTGTCTGACAAGTCCCATTCTTTGAACTCCTGAAGGAAGCTGTTATCCTTTGGAATTCAAGGAGGAAAACAAGCTTTGGCTGATAGGGCGTCGTTCCTTCTGAGAACATTTGCCACCCACCTCATCAGTCCTCCAGATATCTTTGTGAGTGAGGGAGAGAAAGCTATTACCAACACATTTTAGAGGCAGAGCCACCGAGGCAGAGAAATATTCACGACTTTCCCAAGTATGTGTAGTCAGTGGTAGACTTTGAAATAGACACAATATCTCATGACTCTTAAACCACACTGCCTTTTCCCAAGACCAACAGTTCTGTGGGCTGAAAATAGGGGATTGTGAGACAGCCCGCCATCCCATCTACGCACTAAGCCTCAATTACATGCAGAAGGAGGAGGTTGACTCCAGATCCTGCTGGGTTCAGTGTCCTTTCCGGAACCCAGGTGAGATTCAGTAAGATCTTCAGGTGTCTCCTCTGCCCATCTTTCACTGAATGGTTGCTCTGTGAGCGTTACCTAGAAAAACGTTTCTGGAGATGGCCAGAAAGATGTGTAACACTCGGCAGTGTGTTGAGAGCCCGGTGGAGGAACCTCAGGCCATCAGGAAGCCAAGCAGAAGGCAGTTGATCACTTGCTTTGCTGATGTTGTCTTTAGTCCAGACCTGGTCCTTAGAAATATGATTCAAAGGAACGGGAGCTCATCTAGGCCCCTCACTTATATTATACTTTTAAATAGGCTTTTACAGGAAATTAAGCCTTCAATGTGCGCTAGCAGAGAAAGATTTTTGTTTTGTTTTGTGTTTCTTTTTCCAAAGGATGTTTTGAAGGTTGCTATTAAACTTGTGGTTGAAAGATAATGAACTTAGGTATCACTTTTGGTATCTGCAGCCAAATATACCACCACTAAAATATAAATATTTGTTCTTTTGCAGTCAGTATCTGCAGAACAGTAAGCGAAAGAGCCGGCCCGTGAGTGTAAAAACATTTGAAGATATCCCGTTGGAAGAACCAGAAGTAAAAGTAATCCCAGATGTAAGTACATCTTTTAAAAATAGTCTTAAAAACAATACAAAGGATGAAATGTTAGCTAGATAAATATTAGCCTAAGCGTTAAGAGTCTTGGGGCCTCATTATAAGGCTGTCCTTGAGGGTATGTGTCATGGGCTCATTATGGAGGTGGCACTGATCAGCGCCCCCCTTGCTTTTTACCTAAGTACAGTCCCTGGCCCAAGTTTCTAGACAGTCTAGCGCCATGCACAATTCCACTCAAGTGTAAATAGTATCGTTGAGAAAAGAGGGATGGAAACAGGTTTCCTCAGCTGCTTCTTCCTAAATTCTTTTCTTCCGGGCCTGGGTTTACTACTAGGAAGTGGTTGTGCTCCTTGTAGCTTGTACAGTTTTGGGCTATGATATCTTCACCTCCCTCTGTTGAACCCTGGAGAGTATTGTCTGATAGATGGGTTAAGAAATCAATTTAATTGGAGCTCCTGGGTGGCTCAGTCGGTTAAGCGTCTGACTTCGGCCCAGGTCATGGTCCCACGCTTCGTGGGTTCGAGCCTCGCATCGGGCTCTGTGCTGACAGCTCAGAGCCTGGAGCCTGCTTCAGATTCTGTGTCTCCCTCTCTCCCTGACCCACCCCTGCTTGCACTCTGTCTCTCTGTCTTCCAAAAATAAATAAATATTAAAAAAAAATAAATAAATCAGTTTAATTAATTGGTCAGTGTGCACACTCATCAATTGTGCCATCTCATTGTCTCTTAAAAAGGACAACCAGACGGACAGTGGTATGGTTCTTGCATCAGAAGAGCTGAAAACCTTGGAAGACAGAACCAAATTAGCTCCATCTTTTAGGTAAGGCTCAGCCACATAGAAAAGACAAAGCTCAACAGGAATTTTTGGAAGGAACTTAGGACTTTTTGTAGAGACAGTTTTCCCTTTTTGTGTCTTTGGTAGGTAGTCAGATTTGCATCAGCTGAACCAATAAAGAACTGAAACTAATCAAACAAATAAATTACCTGGCATACCTAAAAAAGAATCTGAAATTCATTAGGGTATTTGGTCAGTTTTTATGAGAATTTATGAATACCAGGGTATTTTTATATTTATATGGTCAGTGGTTTGTATGGTACTGGCTAAATAACAAAGATCATTGGATGCAATCCATCAAATTGAGATGATAAAAATCTTTGTGGACTCCGAAGAATTTTCAAACCTGTACATAAGTGAGTGCATCTGTCTTTAGAAGTATGATGTATATAAAAAAGAAAAAAAAATTAAATTAAATTAAAAAAAAAAAAGTATGTATAAAAAATAAGCCAGTATCTATTTGTTTGAGATACTTAAATATTATTGGCTGGCTTATTTGGCTTATTGTTATTATTGGCTAATTTGTGGGGAAAATACAAAATTTCATTTTGAATATGATTTTCCCCGTGTGGTTTTGTAGGAATTTGTAGTTGTTTTGAATAGACATATCTGCTTTTAACCTAACAAATCAATGAAAATCTGTGTAAAAATAGCGAGATGAAGAGCAGTTACCTATTTGTGAATGAGCTCACTCTAGGTAAGAGTAGAGAAGACTTTGATCTACTTGTAATAGAACCATTTTATAAAATGGGAATACCTACGGGTTATGAGGGATGTTCACTTAAAGAAAACAAAAATAAAATGAGCCACTGTGCAATTTTTTGTTGGCTTTAGGCCCAAGGTAAGAAATTGTTCGAGCCAATCATGTGTTTCACTCATTGATTTAAAATGTGTTTATTCAGCAGTGACTGTGTGCCAGCTACGATGCCATTGTTTGAGGCATTAACCTCATTTGACTGAGGTTGGATTGAAAGAGAAATTGTATTTCTAGTTATTTGAAATAACTTTCAAACCATATATGAACATAGAGTGAATGAAATATTTTTTTGGTAGTTTTTAACACGGATAATTTGGTAAAACACGTATTCAGGGGGGAAAAGACCCGTACCTCAGAATGGTTTGAGAAAATGTAAATCCTGAAGTTTTACGCTTTTAGGCTTGGACATGATTATGGTTTGTCGTGATGCCATGCCACTGAAAACATTCTCTAGTTGCTGCTGAGTGATCCAGGCCCCCAGTCCTTCCAAAGAATGTGGTTTTGAGGAGTAAAAAGCAGGTTTTGACAGTCTGGCTTGATTGCACACACACGCTTCGACGTATTCAAGTTTAAAGTTGCTCAAGAACTTTATTAACACCGTGCACATGCCTTGTAATCCCTAATTGACAGTGTGAGGAAAACAGAAGTGGACTTTCAGAACCTCCCAATTTCCTTTCCCATCATGAAAGAGTCCCTTTGGCTCCTATCATTGTATACAAACCTGTCAATCTGCAAGGCCATAAAAACGTTCCGTTGGTTGGAGCCTTTGCATAACTCAGGAGAACTGCCTTTCATCTCCTCGCAGCCTTGAAAGACTTGGACCTGAATAGGAGGACTTATCTGAAACTACTAGCTCATGCTAGTACCTGAAAATAGACATTGTCCGAGTGAACCTGATACGCTGATTAGCAAGTGGGAAAGATAGGGGTCGGTGTCTCCAGGGAGATTACAGCCCCCCCGGGGTCGAGAACGGGGTTAGGATGCGAGGGGCAAGGACTGCCTTCTCTCCGCCAACTCATTTGGTTTCCATGTCTTCCACAGTGGACTGATGCCCAGCAAAAGCAAGGAGTCCGTGGCATCCGAAGGCTCAAACCACACGAGTGGCTACCAGTCCGGGTATCACTCGGATGACACAGACACCACTGTGTACTCCAGCGAGGAGGCAGAACTTTTAAAGCTGGTGGAGATTGGACCACAAGCTGGCAGTGCAGCCCAGATTCTCCAGCCTGACTCTGGACCCGCGTTGGGCTCTCCTCCTGTTTAAAAGGAGGCACCCACGTCCCCCACTCCTGGAAATCACATGAGAGGTGCTGCTCAGATCTTCAAGTGTTGTTCTTTCCACGACCAGGAAGTAGCCACATTTGATTTTCATTTCCTAAAAAAGGACCTCAGACTGCAGGGAGCCAGTCCCCTAGGCATTTCCTAAGAAGATGTTTGTGACTCAAGAATGTGTTTGTGTTTTCTCCCAGTGTTGACTTTCTGTTTATGCGTTGAGAAAGCATGTCTGATGCCTCTTACTCTGGGTCTCTCCGTGGGTTATAACAAAAGGAGTTCAAGGAGTGGCTGCATCTTTCATGAAGTGGCAGGACCCGTCTCTGTAAAACCAGAAGATAAACCAGGTGATGCGAGTGCTTTAGGTGTTGAAGATGGGAAAGATCTTGAGGGCTGAGTCCGTCCGAGAAGCTCTGTTTGGGACACGTATGGGTCCTCAGCCAAGTCTTACGTGTGGGGTTTGGGTTGGCAGAAAGGAAGATGTTGGCTTGCTCTGAGAGCGGACCGGAGCTTTCAGATGCATTGTGTCGGCCCTGGTGGAGGTGGGCACGGGGTCTGTTAGGAAATGTAAAGGCTTCAGACGAGGTTACTGGTTTTAGAAGGTTGCGTGCTCTTCCCCGTTGGGCTAAATGAGAGCTCCTTGGGCTGTTTCCGACTCCTAATGAGAGTTCCTTCCGGACTCTTACGTGTCTCCTGGCCGAGCTCCAGGAAGGAAATGACGCAGCTCTGGCTCCTTGTCTCCCAGGCCGATCCTTTATTCAGAATGCCACAAAGAAAGGACATTCAGACGGAGGCTCCCTGTCGTGTGGAAGCGTTCTGACTGTATAAACCAGCTTCTGGTTTCTTCTGGATGAATACCCACCTATCTGTCCTGATGCGATATGTCTGAGCCTGAATGCAGTAGGTTCCGTATCAAGCTGTGGTGTCAAAGCTTCAGGAAGGATTTTACTCTTTTGTTCCTTCTCCCCTCCCTGACCCTTCCCTCTCTTCGCACCCCTGATCGGTCAGCATTTTAGTAATTTGGCCTCTACACTCTAGTCAAAGCTGATTTGGTTTGTTCACTCTCTGAATGACTGTTAGCCAGATTTCAAAATTATTTTATCACCAAAGGTTTAACCCCATCTCTTGTATTATTTAGGCTTCTAACATGTAAAGCTATTTCTACTGGTTTCTGCCCTTGTTCTTTCCTTTTTAAAAAAGAAAATGTATTTTTCATTTGGTATCATAGTGTGAGATGCTGGAACCATGACTGTAAAACATGCTGTGGCACATATATTTATAGTCTGTTTATGTAGAAACAAATGTAATATATTAAAACCGTATATTATATATGAGGAACTTTGTACTATTCACATTTTATATCAGTATTATGTAGCATAACAAAGGCCATAATGCTTTCAGCAATAGATGCCATTTTATTAAAAAAAAAAAAACTGAAAAACTCCAATGAGTCCCTTTGCAAGGTTGTGTTTCTGTTCTTCTCATTTTGCTCACTTCTAAAGTGGAGGAGGGGGCGTCAGAGATAGTTGCCGTGTGGTTTTTCATTTTTGCTTATTTCCTTATTCTTATAAAGGATATTTTCGTAAAGTAGTTTATATTTTTGAAACCAATAAATGTATTCTCAGTAAAAAAATAACACAACAGTGTAATATGATCGCAGCTATTTGGAGGGAAAGTACTTCTGCCTTTACCCCTTCCTCTTTCATTGCACAAATAATTCACGCACATGTGAACTCTCATTATATTCTGAGCATTTTCGAGATTCTTAAAACATGGATGGAGAGATATGTTCTAAGCACTCTAACAGTATTTGTGGCCTTCCAGTAAACCCTGTGCCTGTCACTAAAGCCAACCATGAAAATCAGAGAGTGAGAGATCCTGAGACAGGTGGCCAGACCCAGGCACTGGCGGGAAGTATGGAGCCTACTTGTCGTTTTCAATGGTGTTTTACTCTATACTTAAAGTGTCCGGACATCAGACCCAATGCCGCCATTTTGAGTGATTATTTTACCTGAATTCATTGTGTGATTATCTAAAAATCACTGGCATCCATGAGTGTCCCTACTCTTTGAGGTATTTTTTAATACAAGAGTTGTAATGTTTAGATAGTCAAATACACCTATCATTTTTTGTGGCTTCTGGGTTTTTTAATCTTAGTGCAGAAGTTTTTCTCAATGCTAAAATAAGTTCTCAATGTTCTCCTATCACACTTATGTCCGTGTGGCATTCATTTTTGTATATGGAGTGAGGTAGGAATCTAGCTCTGTTTTCTTCAAGCGGTCATCAATCATGGCAGGACCACATTAAATATACCTCTTGATTAAATAACCTCTTTTCCTCCATGGTTGGGGAAATACACGTTGTACCATTTTCAAACCCTATCATCTCATGGAGGCATTCTGTACAGCTTTATGGTGGAGAAGAGGGTGGCCATGGGTGTCTGTGACTCCCGGGGCAGAGCTTACAGATGTGGGCTGTTGGCCGGGATTAGTGGGTTAGGGTCTCTGACAGACTTTGTTTCGCTATCCATCAGGCCTGACCTCGTCTTTCCCGTTAGGACGGTGTCATCCAGTAATGGAATGGAAGAAGAGTCTAGGCGGTTCAAGATAGAGACGACCTCATAGGAAAAGAGAATTTTCTTCATTTTAGGAAAAAAAGAGATTCTGTTTCTCATAAGCAGCCCCTGGCGCTGTCTCCAATGCCTGGAATTTGGATTCAGCTGAAACTTCACACTTTATAAAGAAATGCTTTCAGCACCTCAGGCAGAATGATTAGGAGGTGAGGTTTGGCGCTCTCCTTCCTCTCTCTGTCTTCCAAGACCCTTGTTCTCAGCTCCTTTTCTCTCCTCATTTGCCCCTGTATTGAAGAGAACCTTGTTGCCTTTTTTTTTTTTAATTTTTTTTTTTCAACATTTATTTATTTTTGGGACAGAGAGAGACAGAGCATGAACGGGGGAGGGGCAGAGAGAGAGGGAGACACAGAATCGGAAACAGGCTCCAGGCTCCGAGCCATCAGCCCAGAGCCTGACGCGGGGCTCGAACTCACGGACCGCGAGATCGTGACCTGGCTGAAGTCGGACGCTTAACCGACTGCGCCACCCAGGTGCCCCCCTTGTTGTCTTTTAAAGTGCTTCCTTCATGGTCTTATTTTCAGAGCTTGAATTGGAGACATTTGGTGTATTTTAGGTGCGGCTCCGTCCCCGCTTGGCTTCTGGCCCCTCGCCTTCTCTCCCTTTTCTTGCTTTGTTCTTCTGCCTCCTTTCAAACTCCTCTGGCCCTTCACCTTCTGTTTCTCTCTTTCCATTAACCTTCCTCTGCTCTGCTCCCTCTGGCTCCACCCCCTGCAGCCTTTCTCTTACATCATGGCAGGACAGAGAGAGCTGTGGGGGATTTAAGTTCATTACCCCACTAAGTTTTCCTATGAAGGCACATTCCTTTGTCTTCTTCAATGAAAGAAAAGAAAAGTAAAAGTCCCAAACCCACAACTTCGTAGTTAACCCTATTTTCCTGTTTCCCCCAGCAAGTCTTTTTACCTCTCGCTCACGTATCAGTCTCCAAGATGATACAATGTAGGCAAACCCAGAAAACTAAAGCCTTTGAGAGACTGGCTTTTCAGATACATCTTTGCACGTTTGCATGCCCTTTTCCTGTAGGGGCAGTAGGCATATAATGTCTATGCTTTCTCCCATACGTAGTAAGCACCACTCAAAGGGGGTTCTAATCTGTTTTTTGTTTTTTTTTTTAATTTTTTTTTTCAACGTTTATTTATTTTTTGGGACAGAGAGAGACAGAGCATGAACGGGGGAGGGGCAGAGAGAGAGGGAGACACAGAATCGGAAACAGGCTCCAGGCTCTGAGCCATCAGCCCAGAGCCTGACGTGGGGCTCGAACTCACGGACCGCGAGATCGTGACCTGGCTGAAGTCGGATGCTTAACCGACTGCGCCACCCAGGCGCCCCTAATCTGTTTTTATAACATTGCATTTTCTTTTTTTTCCCTCTCTTTTTTTAAAATTTAAATTCAAGTTATTTAACATGCAGTGCAGTCTTGGCTTCAGGAGTAGAACCCGGTGATTCATCTCTTACAT